TCCCACAGGACACTGTGGTGGCTTCACCAAGCTCTTGCAGTGCAGTGGTACATCTGGGGGGCTCGCAGCCTCTTTCGCCGAATTTTTCAGTCTGTGGGGCTGGCAGGGCCGGCGCTGCAGGATGGGCAGGTTGAAGGTCCCCTGCTGCTCGTCTGAGTCTTTTTGGGTCCTCTGATTTCTCAGGGTCCTGTAGAGAGTGGGGGTGAGGTGGAGGGGAGCCTGTGGGGAGCCCCCCGGCGCAGGGATAGCTGTGCCGGGCAGATCCTCCTGGGAGGGACGGGGGGGCTCAGCCTCCCGGGGCCGGCCCCGGAGCAGCGGGACGAGGTGGATATCCGTCTTCTGGATCTGCCTGTGCGGCTTCTTGAGCTGCTGCTGCCTGCGGGCATCCTCTGCCTCCCTGCAGTTGTAGGCCATGCCATCCTTCTTCTCCTTCTTACGCAAAGACAGGGTTAAAGCCAAAAGGAGAAGGCACCCACCCAGGAGAGAGGCCAGGCAGATAACGGCCACCACGGATGGGCTCAGCCATCCGAGATCCTGGGCTGACATTTTGGAGAACGCCCCGTGGTGCCGGAAAACTAAGCGGACCCGGGCCAGGGTGTGCAGGGGAATGTCCCCCCCATCGCTCACCCGAACCACCAGCTCCCGCTCACTGCCGGCAAGGCTGCTGGCGTTGCTGGCATTGAGGAAGACCTGCCCCAAGAGAGGGTCCAGGATGAAGAGCCCGGCATCATCCCCACCCACCAGATCATACCGGAGAGCCCCATTGATGCCAGAGTCCACATCCCTGGCCGTGATGGTGAAGAGGAAGGGAACACCGGTGCACGACACGAGTGTTGCATTGGTCACCGCTGCAGTCCCTTGGGTGCTCCCGTTCCCAGGTACCACCCAGAAGCACCCCGTCTCCGCATTAACCAGGACAGAGAGCATAGCCGTGCCTCCCACCAGCACCGGTGTGGTGATGACAGGTGCGTTGTCGTTCTGGTCGAGCACAGCCAGCCTGATGGAGATGTTGGTCGCCAGCTTGGGGTGACCACCATCCTCTGCGGTCACCAGGAACTCCAGGCTCCTCACCTGCTCGTAATCAAAAGCTCGGAGGGCAAAAACATCCCCAGTGGTGGGGTCGACTGAGACCAGACCCGAAGCAGAGGAGTCCGGGATGCTGTAGGTGATTTTCCCGTTGAAACCCAGGTCAGGGTCGGTGGCACGGACGGTGAGCAAGAAGGCAGGTGTTTTGCTGTTCTCAGCAACAGCAACCTCGTAGGTGGCCTTCTCGAAGGAGGGGGCGTTGTCGTTGACGTCGCTGATGCAGATAGTGAGGTGCTTCAGCACGGCCAAGGAGAGGTCACCCTGGTCCCGCACCACCAACGTCAGGTTGTACTCGGCACGCAGCTCCCTGTCCAGCGTGGCGTTGGTCATCAGCACGTAGCTGTGGCTGTTGGTCCTCTTCAGCCTGAAGTGCTCGTACCCTTGACTGAGGGAGCAATGCACTTGCCCGTTGCTTCCCGAATCAGGGTCGCTGGCCGTCACCAGAGCCACGAAGCTGTCTTTGGGGAGGGCTTCAGAGAGCACGGGTGCCCGCGCGGCCCAGGTGACATGGACATTGGGAGCGTTGTCGTTGACGTCCAGGACTTTGACCAGGATCTTGCAGTGCGCTGGGATGGGGTTGGCACCCAGGTCCCGGGCTTGCACGTCCAGCTCATAGGCGTGGGTTTCCTCGTAGTCCAGCGGGTGCTTCAGGATGACGCTGCCTGTGCGGGCATCGATGCCAAAAGCGCTGAGCACCTCCGGGGGCGCGTGCTTGCTCAGGCTGTACTCGATCTCCCCGTTGGGGCCCTGGTCAGGGTCGGTGGCCGTGACCGTCACAAGGAGGGTCCCGGGCAGAGCATCCTCCCGAACCTCTACCATCAAAGAGCTCTCTGCAAAGATGGGGCTGTTATCATTGGAGTCAAGGACGATGACTTTAATTAAAGCGGTACCTGATTGTGGTGGCTCCCCATGATCAGTGGCCGTCAGCACGAGGTCGAAGGAGGAGTGCAGCTCCCGGTCCACTTCTTTGACCATGACAAGCTCTGCGTGCCTTGTCCCATCGGAGCTGGAGATGACCTCCAGAGCAAAGTGCTCGCTGCGGGAGAGCGCGTAGGAGCAGCGGGCGTTGGGGCCGGTGTCGGCATCCAGGGCTCGGTCCAGCGGGATCCTTGTCCGCAGGGATGCGCTCTCCGACATCTCCAGCTCCAGCTCGGGCGTGGGAAACCGTGGCGCATTGTCGTTGACGTCCAGCACTTGAACCTCCACGTGAATCAGAGCCAGGTTTCGGGCAGCCAGCACATCGAAAGAGACCCAGCAGGGATCGCTGTGCCGGCACAGCTGCTCCCTGTCCACCCGTCCGGCTGTGCTGAGCACCCCGTCCCCGTTCCCCACGTGCAGCGGGAACCTCCCGGGGGTCTCCATCAGCTGGAAGGTATCTGCTGTTTCGCCGCTCTCACCCCCCTCGAAGTGCTCAGCCAGCGTCCCTATCACCGTTCCCAGCGGCACTTCTTCAAACACCCGGTACTGCACCGTGAACGTGGCCACCTCCTGGGCATCGGTGGAGAGGAAGAGGTACCACCACAAGGCTGGGAGATGGAGAGCGGAGCGGCTCAGCAGGAGCATGCTGCTGGCGAAGCCCACCACCCCGCTGCCCCAGCACGCTGCCGCGGGCTTGCCCGCCTGCCGCCGCATACCCAAATGGTCCTTACAGCGATTGCAAGTCCTCGGCATCTGCTCCCATCTCCAAGTCCCATAGGCGCCAGCCACTGGTTGTCAAGGAGGAGAAATGGCGAGCAAG